GTTCTTTTTATTTTGAKACAGGGTCTCACTAAGTTGCTGAGACTGGCCTCAAACTTTTAATTCTGCCTCAATCTCACCCAGCCAGTGGTTACAGATATTAAAGGAAAATGTTCAGTTTTTGTTAAACTAAATTTAGAGTAACTTGAAAATGTAAATTCTTACCAATATTTATTTATTTTTGTTTGTTTATTTATTTTTGGCAGCGTTGCAGATTGAACCCAGGGTGTTACCCATGCTATGCAAGCTCTGTACTACTTCATTACATTCCCAGCCCCTGGTGTGAGAATCTGCAGTACTTTTTTCACATGATGCCCAGGAAAATCATTAACTGTCATTATATATTATAAAGGTAAGTCCTATCTAATGGTGGAGTTGCTACTGCTCCCTGGATGGGACACCACCTGGGCTGGGTCCGAGAATGTTCCCTGTACCAGTCACTACTTTTCAGTAGGACTGCTCTCTCTTTTGAGGTGCCTGTCTCACACTCCTTGTGCCTAAAGTGGTTTTATTTCTCTCTGATTTTTGTTCTCTCAGAGAATGAAGAAGCCATCTCTTGTTTCTGCTTAATAACAGCTGAGCAATGAAATGCCAGTGGTGGGCTTTGAGGCTCCAGGAACTGGTTCTGTGGAGCTGAGACTCTCTGGTGCCCTCAGGGCCTATGGAAGCCTCTCCTATGTGGAGAACAGAGGGCAAATAGGAAAGGAAAGAAAACCTTGTGCCCTTTTGTTTAATGCCCCAATAGGATAGGACTTTTGACCCCAGCTTTCAGAGGCATCTGGTGTGCGGCATGAGATCCTCTGGGGTGACTGGCTTAGGGCTTGGGCTAGATAAACGCTGGCGGTTGCTAATGATATGAAGCCTCACGGCTTTTCCTATTCACTTGAGGTACCCAGGAATTAAGTGGTTATTTGGACACTGGGCTCCCAGACTCTTCACTGCCTTATAAACTCCCCCAGGCCATTCTGCACACCTGAGGTCTCCCAACACCCCATAGGAGACTGAGTCGCTGGCCAACAAGGACTAGAAGTCAGGCCAGGAAAAGCAGCATGCAGAGTCCGGTCAGGGGGCTGGGCACCACAGTGAGCCCTTCTCAGAGGAGCTTTAGCGGGTGGGGGGACTCCTTAAGCTTCAGTGTGCTTTGAAGGTGTCTTTATTTCTGGGAAATTTTCTTCCATCAGGAAAGGGCAGCCCTACCTGGGCAGGCGAGCGGGCGCAGGAAGCCCTTGAGGGAGCAGGGCAGTCCTCAGCCAGCGGAGAAGAACCTGGAAACCCCAGCTCCCAGCCAGGGAGAGGTGGCACCAGGGACTGCTGGGCACCCAGCGCTCCGCGGCCCCGCTGGCGGGAATGAGCCGCCAGCGCGGCCAAGGTCAGGGTCAGGGGCTGACCCCAGGAGGAGGRCGCCCGCCCGCCCGCGTCGGGGCCTCGGGGCGCCGGGGAGGGGCGGGGCCTGGGGGCGGGGCCGCGGGGGCGGGGGCGTGGAAGGGCCGGGGCAGAGGCCGGGAAGAGGCTGACAGCCCGCCAGGTCTGCGCCGCGGAAGGGTGGCAGAGACGCCGGAGGCTCGCGAGGAGGTGAGGAGGGGAGAGCCGCCGGGGGWGGCAGCTGGACGGGCCGAGTGGGCGAAGGAGCGGCCCCAAGGCCACGTGTGTGCGCGCCTGCTTCCAGGCAGCCCCCGGGAGCCTCTTCACCGAGGGGTCTCGGGCCTCAGTTTCCGCCTCTGTGGCTTTCTGGCCCCAGACCACCTCTCCAGGCAGGGTTGACCCCGAGGGTCGCCCCTCTGGCGGCCCCGATCAGGGGTTGAGGTAGGGATCGGAAGGTCTGGGAGGGAGGACTTAGGGAGACCCCAGGAAAGAGGCAAAGGAGGGAGAACCTGCTTGAAGCAAGAGAGCGGAGGGCCGGGCCGAGGTGGAGACCCCCGTTTCTGGGGACAGCGGTGGGGCTGTGGGCAGCGGCAGCCCCAGTGCAGGGAGGGTTAAGCATCCTGAGTCCCGCCCGCCCTGGGCCCTCCCACGTGTTTACGTTCTCCCAAAAATATTCAGCCTCTGGCGGGTCTCGGTGGGGAGCTCCAGTCCCTGCACCTCCCCCGCTGTTGGCCTGGGACGCGGGGCGGGGCGGCGACCTTTGGCAGCCGGGAGATTCCGGGCTGGGAGTGGGAGGAACAAGGGTCTGTCGGGGAGAGCCTGGGGACAGCCTGGACAGCGGGGAGGGGAGGGGGCCGATAGAAAGGGCGCTGAAGGGTGGCTGTGGCCACAGGACTGCTTCCCAGGCTGCTGGCCAGGGAACCCTGGTAAAACGTTATAGGCCCCGACAAAGGTGCGCAGCAGGGTGGGAGGCACCAGGGGGACACCAGGGGCGACTCAGGGAAAGGCCATTTCCCCTGTTCCTCCACCTCTTCCCAGAGGTCTACAGGCATAACTGTGAGGAGCAGGGCAGGGTAGGAGGAGCCCTGGCTGGCTGGAGAGCTGAAGACCACACACCCTCTTTCCAGGGCCCGGGCAACTGAGGTGAAGCCATGTGGCAGCTGCTTATTCCGCTGGCCCTGTGGCTGGACTCAGTGGGCTTGGGCAGGGCCGAGCTCACAGGGGTGCAGCGCAGGGCCCTACAGGTGGCCCTGGAGGAGTTCCACAAGCACCCACCTGTGCAGTGGGCCTTCCAGGAGACTGGTGTGGACAGCGCTGTGGATACGGTTAGTGGCATGGCCTTGGTCTGGCAGGGAGGTTGAGGGCTGCACCGCAGGGGGACCCGCACATTCCCAGGAAGCTTTCCAGGGAAAGGCCACCAGCCCAGGTCACATTCAGGAGCCTTGTTGCCCACTCAGCTACCCATTGAGCTTCCTGTCTGTCTGTCCGCAGCCCTTCCCAGCGGGCACCTTTGTGAGGTTGGAATTTAAGCTCCAGCAGACAAACTGCCGGAAGAAGGACTGGAAGAAACCAGAGTGCAAAGCTAAGCCCGCCGGGGTGAGTGAAGATGTGTGTGTGTGGGGGGGGGCACAGATTGCACCCTTGTGTGGAACTGGGAGGTCCAGTGTGAAGCCCTGAAGACAGAGCCTTCCTAGAGGGGCAGGGCTAGGAGGGGTGGGTTGGAGAGGGAAGGATTATCCTCATCAGCACTCACATTGGAGTCTCTCAGTCATCAGTAGAAGCCCTGGTGTAGCTTGGCACCATGGTGGATTCATAGCAGGGTTTCACAGTAATCGGTCCTCTCCTGGGCAAAGCCACTGTTGTTGGCCATCCCTGGGGTGGGGGGTGCTGTCTTCTGGTTCTGGCTCCTGTCTGGGAGGGAACACCAACCCTGGGCTGTATGGATTCTATAAAGGCCTCAGTTACCTTCATCTACTAAGAGGGGGGCATTATATCAGTGATTTTCAAACCTTTTGTTTGGCTTTAGGACACTTTTGTTCAAATCCAATCTTTAAAAAATGTAAATAAACAGAATAGACAAAAAGCAAAGTGGTCTGGTGGAAGTCAGGTGGAAAGAACCCCTCTGCGGAGGATTCTTGCCTTTAGGCTCATTCACATGCCACACACCCATGCATGTAATTGCACATGTATGTGCACACATGCATATAGGCACACACTCATCTGGGAAGGATTCCTGTTTATATACATGTCAAATTTCCATAATTTGAAAACTGGGAAATCCCAGCAACTCAGAGGTTGCAGCAGGAGGATCGAAAGTTCAAGGGCAACCTCAGTAATTTAGAAAGACCATCAACAACTTAGTAAGACCCTGTCTCAAAATAAAAAAGAAAAAGGACTGGGGATGTGACTCAGTGGTAAAGCACCCCTGGGTTCTATCCCCAGTGGAGGGAAGGAAGGAAGGAAGGAAGGAAGGAAGGAAGGAAGGAAGGAAGGAAGGAAGGAAAGTGAGATTGACTTCTTAAAATATCCTGGGCTTGAAACCAGCATAATCTCTTGTCCCTTACTCTGGGACTTGACAGGGGAGCTGGTCTCCAGAGGAGAGCTCCCAGCCTCCCCCCCCACCGTGCTCCTGGTGCCCCATGCCCCCCTCACCCTTTTTCTTTCTTCCCTCCATGCTTTCCTCCCCAGAGGAAGCGAAAATGCCTGGCCTGCATCAAACTGAACTCTGAAGATAAAGTTCTGGGCAGAATGGTTCACTGCCCTATACACGCGCCAGGACGACAGGTAAGAGGCAAAGAGGTTGGGAAGGGGGCGGAGAGATGGGCTGAGGCTGGGTCTGAGGGAGAGCAGAGGAAGTTTGGATGAGAGGGAGGAGGGGCAAAAGGGTCTCGGGGCATAGTTTAGACATTTCCTAGGGGTGTGAAGGTGCTGCCAGTACTACTGGCAGTTGCCTGAATTATTGTTGGCGCCAGCAGGAGCCCCAGGAACACCAGGAGACCCAGTGCAGCAGGGTGGAGCGGGCCGGCGAGGACCCTCACAGCTACTACTTCCCGGGACAATTTGCCTTCGTAAAGGCGCTGCCCCCCAGCTGAGCCCTGGACTGGTAGGCAGCCAGGGGGCAGGGATAGCCCTTGGGTTGGAGATGCTGCTGCTGGACTGTGGGAGAAGGGGAGGGGATGGATTAGAGCCTGGAAGGAAGCTGGCCCTCCCTCACCCACCAGAACCTCAGAGCGAACCTCAGAGCGTCCGTTGTTTGTAGAATTTCATCCTACTTCCTGCACAGCTGGGCTTGCTGTCTCCTGAAAGGCCTGCCCTCTTAGGCAGAAGATCTGCTCATATYCTGGGCTAATAAAACTGCTCTCAGACCCTGTTCCCTCTGCTCCTTATGTTGCCCCTGCCCTCGGATCAACCTGTAGGAGGCCAGCAGAAAGAGGGCAAGCTGGGTGTGTGTGCACAGGCACACTGGCCCCTCCTGCTGGACACCTGGACACCTAGACACCAGCGGCTCCATGGAGCCTGTTGTGCAGAGGGGGAAAGAGCAGACTCAAGGACACACAATAATGCAAATGGACACAGAGCCATTTAATAGAGTTGGTGGGCGAGAAAGGGGGAGGACTTGGGGAGGGCACAGGCCAGGAACCACAGAGGACAGTCATCTGGATAGGCAGATTCAGAAGGTGGGTGGGCTCCAGCTTTCAGGAATGTTCTGACACTCTGCTCTGCCTGAAATAGCTGGGCTGCTTGCCTTTCCCTGCCTTTCTCACCAATAGCCTTGGGAAGAAGTATCCCGTCCACTAAGTCTCAGACTGGAGCAACCAGGAGTGGCCCCTTGCCTGGTGCACAGTCTGTGTGCCACCTGCTGGAGGTCATTTAGGAGATGTGTCCCTCCCTGTTACATGTGAAGGGAGGGCAGGGAAGTTTTCATGGCAGGGGGGGACTACCCTTGGGACAGGAATAAGTGAAGGCCCAGTTCCTAAGGCCAGTGACCAGCACAAGAAACCTCAAAGACAATGCAGAAGGAAAGGAGGTGTAAGCAGAGGGCCATCTGCTAGGCTGTCCTGGGGGTGATATTGGAGGGGAGCACTTTCAGAAAACAAAGGAAGAAGTAGTGCCCGCAGGACTGAGTGCTTGCTCGGCCCTGGCCAGGCTCTCACTGGCCTGGCGGTCCAGGTCACGGCACTCTTGCAGTGTGTCCTGGAACTGCCGGCAGGCCTCCTCCAGGATGGAGCTGCTCCGGGTGGGCCACAGCTCCCAGTACCCAGGCTCCACCCAGGGCTGGGCTTCCGTGGCTCTGGGGCCTGGGCTGGAGCTGGGGCGCAAGGAGCTCTCCAGGTCGCGGCACAGCTGGTAGAGCTCACTGCCACGCCCACTCACGCGCTCCCCATCGATGACCTTCAGGCCGGGCAGCAGCTCCCTGACCGCAGCCCAGTAAGAGGGGCTGGCACACAGAGGATTGCTGAGCCGGGCCAAAGGGTCCCGGAGCCGCAGGTACTCCAGGCCCCGTAGCCCAGACAGACACTGAAGCTGGCCAGGAGTGGCCAGCAGGTTGCCTGCAGCATTGAGACTCTGCAGGTTTTCGCAGGCGGCCAGTGGCTCCAGCCCGGTCAGGCGATTGTTGGACACATTGAGCACAGCCAGCTGGCGCAAGGAGGCCAGAGGGCCTAGCTGGGTAAGTGCGTTGCCTGAAAGGTCCAGCCACTCAATGCCCAGGCACTCCCCCAGGCAGCCCAGGTCGGCCAGCCCCAGGTCTCGCAGCTTCAGCAGCAGGATGGACTCCAGAGCAAACTCGCCTGTGCGGGACTTCAGCAGCTGGGGCGTGATGCGTGGCCCCTCAGCCTCTCCTGGCTGCTCACCTGGAGGTTCCATGGGACAGCTGGCTTGGATGATCTGGGCCTTGACAGGTCRTCACAGGGACATGGGCACCACTGGGTCCGCTGGCTGCTCACCCCCAAAAGGCACCCTCCACTCTCCTTGGGCCTGTTTTGATACACACCTGGAGGGTGCGCAGGTCCCTAAGGAGAGACACACAATTAGGCACTTACTGTGACCTCTGCAGCAGGTGACAGAAGACACAAAGGCTGTCCCATCAGCCTTTACCACCAGAACCAACAAATCAACAGCCAAATAAGACCTAAAAGCCAAGGCCTGAAGACAGGCCATGACAGCCCAGCCTAAGGACAGCAGCCCCAGGTCACCCTGTGAGTTAGGGCCACACTGCACAGAATTCAGGCCCAATGTCACCTGTTCCATCCACTGGGGTAGGGCACAGTGGCCCATCCCTGTAATCACAGCTACTTAGGAGGCTGAGACAAGAGGGTCTCAAGTTCAAGGCCAATGTGGGCAACTTAGTGGGACTCTGTCTCAACAGAAAAAGGGATGCAACTTGTAGTAGAGTACATGCCTGGCATGCCTAGCAAAGCCTGCGCTTCCATCCCAGCACTGCCAAAAAAAAAAAAAAAAAAATTGGACTGGGGGCAAAAATCTCAATTTTCTTTTTTCAGTAACCACTCATGATACATCATTATCAGTCGTGAGGTATTCATTTTTTAAATGTCAAATTTATTTTTGACTAGATAATAGGAGGCTGCCCTCACCAATTTCTTATGTTTCCTTCCTGGGACAATGATGCACGTGGAAAACCAAATAAGCACACTGTACCTTGTTTCATTCACTTAAAATGTTTCCTGAGACATTATTACCCTATATACATGCCTGTATACATGTATGATCACACTACTGGTGTGGCTCTGCACCAGGTCCAGCCAGAGGAAGGAGAAGCTGTGCTCATTTGTGTACAGTGTGTCAAAATGCATTCTACTGTCATGTATAACTAATCAGAACAAATAATAAAATAAAATGTTAGGGCTGGGGTTGTAGCTCAGTGGTAGAGCACTGGCCTATCACGTGTGGGGCACTGGGTTTGATCCTCAGCACCACATATAAATAAAGATATTGTGTCCATCTATAACTAAAAAAATATATATATTTTTTTAAATGTTATCTGAGCCAGGCACATAGCACATGCCTGTAATCCCAGTGACTTGGGAGGCTGAGGCATAAGGTTCACAAGTTTCAAGTCAGTCTGGGCAACTTAGTGACACCCTTTCTCAAAAAGGGCTGGGGATGAAGCTCCATGGTAGAGTGACCCTGAGTTCAATACCCAGTACAAAAGAAAAGGGAAGGGTTCCCAGATTTGGGGGCCAATTCCCCACCCTCTGGCTGGGGCTGCAGGGCCTGAGGAGTTGGCTTTTAATCCTAGATGAGGGCAAAAACTGAGGTCAAGGGAGGGGAGGTCCAGGGAAGCTGAGGTGAGCTAGGTAGGGTTGCTCTCCACCCACTGTACCCCTGCCCACCCAAACCAGTTCTGACATCAACTGGTCAGATCAGCAGACCAGCACTGATCACTGTGCCAGACAGCCCAGTGCCGGCTGCAAAGATGACATCATTGCCCAAAAGGCAAGCTGGGGGAGGCCAGAGAGTCTTGGAACCAGTCTTGGAGGGAGGTATGGTGGGAGGGGTGGTCAACTAAGCTGGCAACAAAAGGTGGGGGAGGGCACATTAAATCAGCAGTGACCATGGGACACGGAGCCCAGATGCTTGTGCAGCATGAGGAAGGCAGCCTGGGGGCAGGGCCGATGGTGCTGCTGCCCACAAAGGGTCAAGGTTTAGGCAGAGAAGAAAACAAGAGCAGACCTCTGCTCTGCAAGTCAATCCCAACCCTCCAGACTCTTGGCAGGCCAAGGGCAGGTGACGCCTGCAAAGGAGATCCTGGCCCCTGCTGCTGAAGGACCTGGGGTGCAGGGCACTGGAATTCCCAAGTACACAGGATCAACACCACTGATTATGTCCCTCTCCAGGGAATCCGGGCCCAGAGCCCTGGCCATCAGCTCTTTCCACCCAAACAGCAAAGAGCTTTTTTTTTTGGTACCAAGGATTGCTCTCAGGGCCATTCGACCACTGAGCCACATCCCCAGCCCTTTTTTGTATTTTAGAGATAAAATCTCACTGAGTTGCTTAGACCTCACCATTGCTGAGGCTGGCTTTGAACTTGTGATCCTCCTGCCTCAGTCTCCAGCTGCTGGGATTACGGGCATGCACCACCGCACCCCACCCCACCGCACCCCGGCATAGCAAAAAACTTTTTAAAGGACTCCCACTAGGGAGTCAGGAGACTGAATAGATCTTGTCCTCATTACACCTGTTCCTCACCTAGTCCCCCAGCCTGCAACACTCCAATCTGTTTTGTTGTTGTTTGAATTTCTGAATTCACACCTCATCTCTTTCCGAAAGGACTGGCAGTCATCCCTTGCAAGTGTGCATCCCCTCAACACGAGTGGGGTGGGGCATGTGAAGAGGGGGTGATGCAGCCACTTCACATCTGAAGGAAATGGCCCTGGCCCATAGAGGGGGATGCAGGACAGCATCAGTGCATATGGTAGAAAAGAAACATGGAGACCCAACCCCAATGAAGATACAGAGTGACAGGGAGGGGAGAGGCCAGAACATTTGGCGATCTGGCTAAGTGACTGGCAGGGGCCTCTCAGACCAGACATAGAGGGGACACAATGGGATGAGAAGACCTCCAACGGGCTGGGTAGTACAGCACTTGCCTAGCATATGCGAGACTCTGATTTCAGCCCTCAGCACCGCAGGGGGAAGAAAAAAGACTTCCAGTTCCACACAGTGTGAGGGACTGGGTGGCATCAGGCTGTACACACTAAGTGTGAGGGATGGTGTGGTGTCAGACTCCAGAGGCAGCTGGATGAATGGCCTCAGGCGTAAAGGAGGGTGTGCAGTACAAGGGGCTAACCTTCCGGGGGACACTTGAAATATCTCTGGGCATCTCTCCATGAAAGTGCACTATCCTGGGATGGTGATTAGGAAGCCATGGTCAGTGAGAGGACAGAGGTCAAGGGCTACTTGAGTGAGGCTGGGAGGACAATTGAGGCCTTAAAGGAGCGACAGCACAGTACTGGCCACACCTGCTGAACCTGGACAAGATGAGGCCGGACAAGGCTGGGGGCTGGGCAGTCGGTCTCAGGGGCGCTGGAACCAAGGCTGGCAGAGGGCTAAAGAGGGAGTCCCCTGAGGGACTGGGGCAAGGCCCTTTTCAAGGAGGACCGGCGTTGAAGAAAGCGAGAGCCAGGGTAGAGGGAGATACCAGTGAGAAGGCCGATGTGCTCCATCACCACCTGAAAGCCGTGAGGCCATTTGCAGAGAGGAAACAGTTATAGAAGAGGGAACAGCGAAGAAGAAAGGCCCAACTGGGTTAGGAATTTGGCCTTCCCTGCCCCAAAGTGCGCCTAGGTGAGACACATGCCTGCTAGAACCTAGCCCCAGTGCCACCTCGTCTAGGCCTTAGCAGCTGGATATATGGCTGTGGTCAGAGCAAAACCGATTCTCATGGGGCCACAGAGAGCTACTGTGCTCCTGATCACGGACCAGGTGGCCCTCGGCAAACTCAGGACCATCAGTGCCCACCCATGCATGCAGTGGACAGAGGTGCAGAAGAGAACGGCTCTGTCCACGCACAACTGCTCCAACCTGGTCTCTGCAAAGTGGCAGCCATCCTGTCCTGGTGACAGAAATGAACCATCCTCTGGGCCCAGCAGCASGCAGTCTATAAGAGGATTGGGTGACATGGACACTCGGTCTCCTGAGGAAGGCTGATGGTGAACAAGGGAAGATGAGCCCATTGCCCTACCAAGTCTCAGTTCGTCTTTCTAGGAAACAGGACCAGAAAAAAACAATGTTCATGGAGTAAGCTTGGACAGAACAGAGCCAAGTCTAAGGAGAAGCCCTTCAACCCTGAGCAGGCTCAGAAGTCACTCAGTGGCTTAAGTGACCTGGGAGCCTTCCTCCACCCATTTCCCTCTCCAAAGGCTCCTCGGAGACCTTCTTTACCTGGGTGTTACCATTGCTGGGGCAAGGTCCTCCTGCATCGGCAGCAACCCTAGCCTCTGCCCACTAGACACCAATAGAACCAGCCCCCTCCCCCAGATGTGACAACCATAACTGTCTCTGGACATTGCCAATGTCCCCCAGGAGACATAAATGCCCCCAGTGAGAAACAAGGTTCTGGAGTCCAAGCCTCTGAGCTCAGGACCACAGTGGTTCTCATCTTCTTCCTCCCACCCACCTCCTTCCTCCCCCCACTGTGCCCCCAGCCTGGCTTCTCCATCCTCTCTGAGGACACTGGGAGTCCGTTTAGTGCTGTCACACAAAATGAAGAATGGCAGTTCAGCTCAACCTGCTGTCCCTTAGGGCAACTTCAGGGGAAACCACCCTGCCCTGTCCACGGAACCAGGGTTTGCTGGGGGGGGGGGGTACGGGACTGCAGGCAGGGTTCTGGGAAGGTCTGGGGCATACCCCGCCCTCAAGAACAAAATACCCTGACTCCTAGCAGGGGACATTAAGAATATCCCTTTACAGCCACCACCCCTCCCTCAACAAGCCTTACCTCCTACGGGGAGCCTGTGAACACCCGCTTCCATAGGTCCCTATTGGAGTGCTATGGGCAGGGAGGACAGCCAGGCAATACGGAGGCCAATCTGGAATTCAAATCACGACACTCCAGCCATTAAATATGGTGTTCACAAAGCTTTATTTAAAGGATGCGATTGTTATAGCCAAAATGAAAATACTGCATATTAAACAGCTCATAGGGTATGACTTCAGTATAAAAAAGGGACCATATCAAACCACTGAGATAGACTCTCTGAGTGACAAGATTATGGCCAACTTTCCCTGCTACCTTATATTTTCAATAATTTATTAATGTCACAGTGAAATAAGCTGATAATCTATCCAGGAAAGGCCACTGGACAGGCTTCCACAGCTGGCAGTCCAGCGAGGGGAGGGTTTTGAGTGTGCACCTTTTTTCTTCCAACCCATCTTAGTGACCACCTTGCCCAGAACTCTTCTGTCCAACCCCACTGGGTTCCTGGATCCCAATTCTCAGGTCCTATATTTGGTCCTACAAGAACTCTGGGCAATCTGTTATTAGCAGGCT